ATCTTCTCAGGAATTCATTTCGACATAAGGGCCCATGGACTGACATTGCTGACGTGTTCAGAATTGTATATTCCAGGTCATCCGGTGGCCATTTACTAATCTGAAAATATCTTGAACATTTTTTTTAATCTGTCGGAATTTCTACAAAGCACATGACAGTCGTCTTAGAATAGAAGATCAGTTGAATGACAGTCTCTTTACTTAGTAGAGTGGTTTTTACTTTGGATTTTGCTGACAGGCTTTCATGACAGCCCTCAGATAGGAGCGTGAATTCACTTGTCATAGCTATTAAAGAGTTAGTGGACCACCCCTGCCCCTTTTGGGTGTAATTCTGTGCTCTGACCCTTCCATTTATTATTGTTCTTATTGACCTTAGAATTATAAAAGAGAAGAATGTAGACAGAACCTCTATTTTTGAAGGCTTGCTGCAATGCAGCTCTGAAGTCAATTCATATTGAATTTTCCTCAAGCTAATCATCACCATAATGTGGCAGAATCTTGCTAATTTTCACTTCATACTTGAAATGCCTTTAGTTCTCGGGAGAACAAGAGCACCTGGTAGATTTTAAATCACTGTCAGCAAAGATGTGGTAGCAGGCAAATGACGTTAAGACTTTTGCATGAAGAAGCATTAAAATAGCTAACCCCAACATAGCAACATAATTGTAATTCTATGTCTTGACTATGTTTTATTTACAACCTTTTGAAATTTATATTTCAATATTAGATTCATCAAGAGAATAATATGCTAAGATTAGAGTAGATAGCTTTTGTTTAAAAGTACAGATATCAGGAATTTTCTGTTTTTCACATAGGGAAGTCTAGATATTGCTTTTTGTGTGAAATGACCCAGTTTTCATTAATTGTCCTGGGACCTGAATGCTAAAAAATACCAAGAAAATATATGTGGGAAAATTATTCCTTAAAAAATATATTTTAGAATTCCATTGTATGATGATATTAATTTTTGGAGGAAATTGTTGTTTAAATCAAAACTAAAACCCAAAAAGCTATCTGCTAATTAATTAATATTTTTAACATTCAATCCCGCATTCTACAAATAATTAAACACACAATTTAGAGAACATACTCTTTGTAGATTGTGTTTAGAGCATAGATTCCTCCCTCTTATTACAAGTCTGCTCTAGGGATATCTTTGTAAAGTGTGCAGATTCCATTAAATTCTACATTTAAGAGTCTTGCTATTAACCTTGCAATGGTTTTGTTATTACTAAAAGTTAATATTAAACATGTCTTTTGATTTAAATAAATAATTACTACTGTATTAAAATGATTTCCTCAAAATCTTTAAACAGAAGTTCGTGCTGGGAAAGAGAAGCCAAATATTTTAAGATGGAAATAATTGTGTGTGTGTGTGTGTATGTGTGCGTGTTTGCTTTTAAAATCCCACATATTATATCTAGACAAATTTTTACTATTTTTTTTGTTACAAAAATGTCTTAAGCTTCACAGATTACTTCAAAGGAAACAATTTTATTATTGTGTGCTTATAATGATCATATTCTTCTTTAAACAAATTGTTTTAAGTAACCAAATTCAATCTACTTTGGTTTCATGATAAAAAATTGTTAATTTTAATGAGGGTTACTTTTTATGAAATGCCTATAATATTCATATAGTACTTAAATGCAAAAAAGAATTCAATTCAAAATTTTTCAACCTGATATTATCTGTATGACACAAAATATTCCAGTAGTATGATTAGTTTTGAATTACCATATATAATTGATTGACTTGTGCTTTTAGAGTCTATATCCAATTAGTAGTGGTTATAGTTGTTTCATAAAATCTCTTGGAAGGCCCTTTGTCTTGGTAGGATATTTAGTTTTCAATTATAACAATATATTCACATATGATATTAAAACTTCATGTCCTTATGAAGGTAAAGATGTGGTCATTATCAAAAGAAATGACTAGCTTGGTTTATTCAGAAAGACAGAGTCAAACGCCAGGAATTCATTTGTCACCTACTTGTTAGACTGGAGACTAATCTGGCCAACTAACCTTTAAAAGAACATTCAAAGTCAGAGATGTCAGATTGTACCAGTAAATATTCACTGGCAAAGTTTTTCTATCAAAGGCTGGAACTTTAGGAGATGCTCCTGGGATTTGGTGTACTCTAACATCTATTAATCCCTGATACCTTAGGTGACTTGTCAAAGAAGTGCTACATTTACAAGGAGTAGGCAAAGAGGCCCCGGAGGACTCCGTCAGTTAAAGGTCAAGGAAGCAATTAATGTTCTCTACTCTTCCCTAAAGAACTTCACAGCAAACGTTGCTCTCCCCTCCTTCAATCTTAGTACTCCAAGCACACAGAGTGAAATGAAAGCTAAAGTTCACATAAATTATATTACCAAGATTATTCAGTTCTTGGAGCTCTTCCTGAATGTGAATGCTTGCAGTCACTTAAGCAGTACAGTGAAATGTGTTAGAAGAAATGGCTCTTGATGAAGAGTATCAATTTTTTCATCTTTCTGTATTCTCAGCCTCTTATTGAGGGTCAATGTTTGTGATAGTGGGAGAGTAGAGTGGTGGGCTGTAGCTAAACTGGAGTTCTTTTGGGGAATATACATGGTTCTGTGTAGATCCTAAGTAGGATACACACACACACACCCACACACACACCCCCCTCTAATCTCTTATATTTCCTAATCTTTCAAAGTTGCAAAACCTCTTGTATTCCCTCAATTCTTTATATTTTTGGTAGGCATGTTGATCTACCCAAATTGACCTTATATGGCTGAGTTTCAAGATTTTTCAGTTTCTTGGAGCCCTCTAAAATGGAGCTTCTCTCATTGCACATGGGACCACCAATAACCTCTGCCTAACACAAAATAGAACAGAGCTTTTACTGTCCTCAGCTTATAAACTAGAGTGTTAACTCAGCTTGGGTGGACTAGGTTTTCTGATAGTCATTTGTACTTTTGACTCATGATCAAAGCTCCCTGCCACACATCAAATAGTGCTGCTAAACTCAGCCTAAATGTGATCTTTATTATTATTAGATGCAATCCTCTTCAAACCAGCCTATCAAGATACCTTGCATCACATTTTGTTCTCTAAAATACTTGATGCTTCTATTACCATTATACTATCTAGAAATGTGACCATATATTAATATCATCAGTAAGCCAAGTCATGAACAAAAATGTTTATCAGGGCAAAAGTGAGAACATACCACTTATTAGAAAGGTCTCTGACCCTAAATGTGCCCGATCTTGCCTGATTTGGAAGCTAAGCAGGGTTGCTTCTGGTTACTACTTGGATGAGAGACTCCTAACTTGGTAGAAAGCTCTATGTAGGTGGGCATTAAAGGCAAGTGCTTTGGAAAAATTGTCTTTGCTTCCAATCCAGTATTTCTTCACGAGGGTCTTATGAGATATCCCTATGAGATGTATTGTTGAGTTTCAGATAAATTGTGGCTATGTATTTCTACTTCTCTGGATGGTTAGGATTATGCCTGGTTAGCTGCTGTATTCCCATCACTCAGCACTGTACCCAACACACATGTGCCTTCCATGCCGTTTTGTTGAATGAGGAAATGGAATAACTAAGGAACAAAGGTTGCTCTGGCTTAACTTTTGAAAATAAAGATTTGAAACTAGAAGATGTTTTTCTTTTTCTTTTTGTTTTCCTCTCCTCATTTCTTCTTTACACTCAGAGTTGGTCTCTATTTTCCATCTCCTCTTCTGGAGGGCCCTAAGCCTGAATTTATGGACGCAGGGCAAGGAAGCAGCTGGCAGGACTCCAGCTGGATCTGAGACAGCAGAAACAAGACTGGAAGGATCAATGGATTTTAAGGATTGGTGTGAGAAATAAATAGCTTCTTCATCAATGAAAATCATGTGCTAGATCAACGATTACACCTAAAACAAACTTCTTTTACAAAGCCATTCCTGAGTAGTCTCAGTCACTGTGCACAATGCAAGATTTGATTGCATGGTCATCTTGTTTTGCCTCTCAGTTTCATGATCAAGCAGTAATGATTACAGCAATAATAATAATAATAACAATGCTAATAATGTTTGAATCCTATGTAGCAGGCAATGTGCTAGCACTCGGCATACATTTTCTTGTCTCCCAGTGCCGGTTGATGTAGGTTCTTCTATCTTTCATATTTTACATAAGTAGTCTATAAATTCTTAGAGACATTTAATCTTTTAAAATTACCCTATAGCTTTTTAATACTTTATAGGGGAGACTTTGGTACAACCATAAAGGAAGCTCAAGTGTTTGCTTCTTTTTTAAGTTATATAAGGTTGGTCAAGTTAATATAGCTGTCTGAGTCTTAGTTTTGTTATTTGTGAAAGTGAAAAATAAGAATGTCTATTTCACAAAAGTGTTGTTACAATTCAATGAAATATTCCAATGCATTTTACATGGCCTGCTTGTTAAGAATGTCCCAACTGGTATTAATGTTGCTTGTTAACCCTGTGAAATGTTGCAGATGCTAAGGTGTGGTGAGCTCCCTCAAAATAATACTATTAGAATGAATAATAATAATGCAAGGATGTACTGTATGGTGGTCTTACGTACCTTTTGTCTTCATAAAAGCAAGTCATGAGGAATAGACTATTATCCATTACTTAGAGACTTGGTATTGCACTGTGCAGTCACTATAGATAGCTGTGATCTCACACTCTATCGCCAATCTTTCTCTTATTCCAGGGGAACTGATTTGTGATCCTGAAAACACATTGCTTTAAAAATGTGCACCAGTTATTTTGTGTTTCATTGAGTGTTGCGAAAATGGATAGTGTTGATATACACGCTAGTAATCATCAGAGCAGTGTTGACACAGATGTATGAAATGTTACCCTGTATTATGAGGTATTTTGAAATTACTTACCTTGCTATTTTATTTCACCTAAAGTCAGTGAGTACTCAAAAGTCACCAGGCAGAACTGTTGCATTTCTCTCAGGTTCTTCTCTTTCCTGGATCTATTGACACAACCATTGCCTTTGTCTCTTCCTTTCAGAGACAAGAGGTGACCAGGATGACAAGCAGGCAGTTGCAGAGATCATGGCAAGATGTTTTACTCCAACACTGATAACAAACATTCCCTGGGAAGGCTTCCGTTTTGTTGGACATGAGATTCGGATTGCTGAAGCCACAGATTGTTATGGCGCTGTAGTTTGGCCCTCGGTATAATTTTGTACAAAATTTGCTCCATTCCAGTTGTTCTCCAGTCAGTTTTGTTTGTTGTCAGGTTCTACTTGGAAGAAGAAAACAGGCTGCATACTTTTCCTTTGTGACCTCAAACAACAGTCACATTTTGAAATCATACAATTGGGTAATTTATTCAACCAATTCATGCTGTTTCTGACTATCAAAATTTGCAGGATAAATACAAATTTTTACTCTTTCCTTTTTTTATGACAATGGGAATGTAGAAGAGTATACTATTTTTCCCCCCATTTTACGGGCACCATTTGAGTTGAACAATTACAGCGACATCTGTGTGTGTCTCACCTGCAAAACATTCCCAGAGGTCCCACTCGTTTACCAGCTGTCCCATAAAGGGTGGCAGATCCACCATTACTACCCTCCTCAAACTCACACACTACTTGGAAATGACTAGTGTTATTAGAAGTTATTTCCCTTAAAGATGATCAAACTTAAGCAACTGAATTCTATATCTTGACTTATTTCTTTTTCCTCCCAAGAACCCTGGAAACCTATCAGAGGATGTGCTTTTGACAATAACTGTCTGCAATGATGTATTGAACACTCAGAAATACACCCTTGCCGTCGTGTGTTATATTTACTTAATAGAGGTTGATTTTGCTTTCTGTTATTTTTTGCCAAACATACATAACCTTTCAAAATTTCAATCTTCATAGGCCCTTGTTCTGTGTTATTTCCTGGAAACAAACGCAAAGCAATATAATATGGTTGACAGGAACGTGATTGAAATTGGAGCTGGAACAGGGCTGGTCTCCACTGTGGCAAGTTTGCTCGGTAAGCAGGTATATTCGATTGAATGAGGTGAGGGTCAGAGAAGCTAATGGTCAAATATCATTAGTTACTTTTACTATCCAAGGTACTATGACCTGGGCTTATTTGTAACTCTGTGATGGTTTAAATGGGTTTCATCAAGAAATTCTACTAGCGTTAAAGTCTCCTTACCAGTTTCTTTGCAGAATTTTCTGTTAGTTGTGTTAATTATTCTCATGGAGTGCTAAGTCACAAGCCTTGCTTGAAGAATACTAAATGGGAGCTGCACTGAAGCATCCTGGTTGGGAGAGGAGATGTGTGAAACACTAGGCCTTACAGTCCATCACGGCCAATTCTGATCTGCAGTACTTTAGATTGTAGTGTAAATTTAATGTTCGTAGGCAGCTGTACATAAATTTGAATTTTGAAGTTCTATGATTTCATGAAAAAGAACTTGCTAAATAGAGAGGAGTATTAGAAATCACATAAAATCACAAGTCTGCTTTTATTGTTAGGTGTTAATTCTTGAATTTATTTTCGCAGTTCTTTTCCATTCTTCCTTTATGGCCCCCAATTCTCTCCTTAGCATGTTTTCCTGCTAGCACTGTGCTCATCTCTCTGTGTGCCTGGGCCTGCTTCAGCTCTGCCTTTCTTTGTTTTATCTATTTCATTGCCTTAATTTAGCTGCCTTCTCTGATGGGCACTACCCAAATTTCTTGATTTCCTTGATCTTCAGAAGTGCACACCTGCCACTCTAAACTCTTGAGAGGAATCCAGGTTTTAATAATTACCACTTTCTAAACACTGAAAAGATGCAGGACCCTTGAAGTCTCCCCAAATATTTTTTTAAAAAATGTCTCTGACCTGATACTGCTTTCCAACATCAGGATTCCATTTAGTGTGAGACACTATTGATTTACACCTAAAGGCTCCTGATCTGGGAGTGGAATTTGTGTCTTGGGAAATCATTTGTTTTATTAAAAAGAATTGATCCCTTGGCTGTGTTTGTCTGGCTTGCAACAAACATCAAAAGATGGAAACTGTGTATAGTCAGTACTCTGAAAGTGGTGATGTCCACCTTTTTAGATTACAGGATCTTAAACTGAACAGTCAGATGGTTTATACCCAGTCTGAGCAAGGTGTTTTTCTTATCTTGGAATTTAAAAAGACTTGTTGAAAACTACAGATTTACTCACACTAGAACGTGAAGGCTAGCATTTCTGTGATTCTACCAATGATGTGGATATTTCCTTTCCATCTTAGTATTTTTACAAAACTACTCTCCCAGTCATTGTTAAGAGAAACTTGACACTGTAGCTAACTAAGGGACTCTACCGTGTCCTGAGCCAAACTAGACTTCTTTTCCAGTTCTTCTTTCCCATTCCTTGTCCTATTCTGTGCCTGTCTGAAGCTATGGAAGAGGTCATTCCTAGCTCTATTTCCAGGCTCTGCTACCCCTCAAAGCTCACTTTAAGGACAAAATTTTATAAAGACATTCCTGCCAAATTTATGCTAGAGTATGACCACTGCTATTCACTTACAACTCAGAAATTGTTTATACCTTCTGGATCTAAGTGCTCTGTCCTGTATCTATGCTCTATTTCTTCGTGATGTCTTTTTGGTGGGCAAATTTACACTTATAATGGGTACAAATTGAAATCTTTGGCATAATTATGATTTCATTATACTTTCAATGTAATGCATTGAAAAGTATTTTTGTTCCCTCCACCAATTCTCACATGAGCTCTTGTCATTCAACTACAGGATGCCCAATATTACATACACTCATTCAATCCAGAACAACTGAGGCTCAGAATTTTTTTAAGGAAGTACCTGTTCTTCTTTCATCAATGACTTCAGATTACTCTAACGATGGTACCAAATATTTTGAATTTTTTCTTCTCTTGGTTATTTTTAACCTAGCATGCAGTAAATAGAAAACAACAACAAATAGAAACAAGACAAAAGACAAGGAGAACCAAAGAATGCAATAGAGTGTAAAAATACCATGGGACTCCAGTTTTTTTGGGATTTGGGGGGGTTTCTTTAAGGGGAGGTAGAGAGCTGCTTTAGCATGTGTTCTGCTTTATGCTGATCAGCAGACCAGCTTTTCTTTGGGACTAGCAGTAGTGCAGAAATACAGAGAGCATGTTGGCTTGAACCTGACGGCTTGATCTTATTCTGTAAGGGTTACTTGTTCTACCAAACTTTGTTTCATAGGTGCTTCTGTGACTGCCACAGATTTACCCGAATTACTTGGAAACCTGCAATATAATATTTCCCGAAACACTAAAATGAAATGCAAGCATTTGCCTCAGGTTACAGAACTCTCCTGGGGAGTCGCTTTAGAGAAGAAGTTCCCCAGGTCTTCTAATGATTTCGACTACATCCTGGCAGCGGATGTCGTCTACGCTCATCCTTTCCTGGAAGAACTCCTTGTTACCTTTGACCATCTGTGCAAAGAAACTACCATCATTCTCTGGGCTATGAAATTTAGGCTGGAGAAAGAAAATAAATTTGTAGATAGATTTAAGGAGTTGTTTGACCTGGAAGAACTCTCCAGTTTCCCAAGCCTGGATATTAAGTTGTATAAAGCTATGAAGAAAAATCAGAGGAGTGCATGACACATTAAGATGAGAGCTTGGAAATGCTAAGGCTGTTTCTAGATTATTACTTTAAAGAAAGCCTGAATGATCTGATGTACCACTGACTTTCCCAAGAGGAAACACACACACACACACACACACACACACACACACACACGAGTCTACTCTAGGCAGAGATATTTCCACACACAACAGGTATCTCTGTAGGATTTGGGGTTCCTCAGTCTACCTCCATCAGGACCCAAGGTCTCCTAGTTACACGGTGGTAGGAACTCTGGCAAAGTTGCACCATGGGGTCGTTGTCTGCTCTCTTCATCCCTCTATAGAACCATTTCCTACTACTATTATTATTATTTAGAAATAGTGCAATTATTCCTCAATGTGTAATTGTGAAATAATAGTGTGAATAATGACATGTCTAAAATGAACATTGTTAATTCTTTTAAACACAGGGTCGAATGACTATCCCTTCAGAAATAAAGAAACTGACCATGATAGGATCTGCAGATAAATCTAAAAAGGCAGATACAAAACAATGGTAGATATCATACTTTTGTGGTTTCCAGTGGTGCCAGCCTGTCCCTTCTGCTTGGCAGGCTGGGCCTCCAGTCTGACCCCTTGAAGTCAGCCAAGCATTTGGATTCAAGGTTGTGGACAAGGACATTTCATTCTACTAAACAAAAAATGGATGGAAGCAACATAAGAATAGTTGAGACTTTAGAAGAGTTATTGTTTTATTTTTAAATCAAGTAAAGTGAATTCATTTCACAGAAACAGAAGAAAAAACCCCAAAAACTTTGGGTTGGAAGTACATGAAAAGATTTAGGCCTCTAATTGGTTTTAAAGTTTAAAGCTCTTCTGATGAACATATATAGACCTAGATATTTGAATCCTATGTGATTTTTCTCTAACAGAGGCCTCAGAGATTAGCATGAAGTCTAAAGTAATTAAAGTCAACACAAAAAGAGCAAACAGCTGGGATTTCATACCATGTAACTGGTGAGGCTGTTTTATTCAGCAGATACTGCGGAGGGCCTCCGGCTAGGGTCACTGTCCCCTGGGGTTGACAGTTGCTTCACTAAGACTGGTCCTCTCTACTTGCTGATCATTGTCAGGGCTGAGAAGATGATTTCCTGGGACCGCGTCTAAGCCATTTTGCAGATAGACTCCATGGAGCTCTTGGTGTATGGGGCTTCTTAGGACCATCTCTCAACAGTTCCCAATCTTTACGTGAATCTTTGTCTCAGCCTGTTACCTATGAAGTCTGTAATCTTCACAACCATTCTGAGAAGGAGGTGACACCATTGCTCCTCCGTCAGAGATAGAGAAACACAGCTGAGAGGCCCAAGGCCTTTCTCAAGCCTCAGTCTGTTTGAGTCCAAAGCCTGTGCTCTTGACTGCTCCATCTTTATGGATTTAAAACATCAGTGTGCAAAATCCTTTCTAGAAAATTGCTGTCACTTCTTCAAAAGGAAACACACACCCAGAAACATAAGCAAATACATTAGGAAAATGAGAACTGTTCCTCCTCAGAACTATTGTCTTGCTTCTTGCTCAGGTGGATCAGGGTCAGCTTGTGTAGAAGGGGGACATCTGGGCAGAACTGGGAGGAGGTGAGGGGAGTGGGTTCCAGACAGAAGCAGCACTGTGCAGGGACCCTGGGGCAGAGCCATGCCTGTGCTCTTTAGGAAAGAGCAAAGACCATGTTCTTGGGGGCCTAGTACGGGGTTGGTGAGGTTTGAAATGAGAGAGGCACTGGGGGAGGCCTGTCATGGAGGGCCTTGCTGCAAGCTGGCTCTGCAGAGACAGGCTCTGGCAGGCCATTTGCTAGCAGTGCGGTTGGGATAGAGACCTAAGGACAGAAGTAAAGGAAGCAGAACAGAAGTCACTTTACAGGCCTAGCCTCCACTCAGATGACTCCCTGTAGGATGGACCTCAAGTGGCCTTTCAGAGTAGCCCCGGCCGGGGTGAGGTGTCTAGGCCTGGATAACCCCATGTGGCTTAGGCACTGGGTACAGCTGCTGTCCTGGGATGACTCCCTGACTTTGGGTGAGGTGACTTTCCAGTTCAGGCCATCTCTGAAGATGGTGATAGCTGTGGTCAGTCTGCCAAGAGCACTTCAGCAGCTATGTCCGGTCACTCTGGCAGCATGTCGGTGTCCACCATGGCTTTTCCTCTGGTGAAATGAAGAATCACTGAGTGGTTTTGAAGAAAGGAGTGAAATGATGTCACTTCCCATAAGGACTACTCAGGTAGATGTTTTGACACTAACATGTAGGGACTGAGAGACCAGCTGGGAGGCTGTGGCAGCTATCCAGGCCCAGGGTGGCAGCTGGTAGCACAATCTACATGGGAGGTGGTGAAATCGGCCTAGATGGATTTGGCTCTAGATGGATTTGGAAGCCAAAGACCCTGCCTTACAGAGTGTGGAGTGAGAGAGAGAGGCTGACTCAGAAGAGTGCAGGCTGCACCACAGGACACAGCCTGAGAGTCAGCACCTCAGACACAGTTTGTGAAGCTCTTTTAGGGAGCAAGAGACAATAAAATGAGGGCTGTCTTAGTTACTTTTCTCTTGCTGCAGACACAAAATACTTCCCAACCAAAGCAAAAAGGGGAAAGGTTTATTTAGCTCAGTTTGTGGAGGTTTCAGTCCATAATCAGCTGGCTCCAAGGCAGGATGGCATGGTGGACAGGAATTGCAGAGGAGAAACAGTTCATGGCAGGTAGAAGGTTGCAAAGCAAGCAAGGGACCTTAGCAGATCCTTTCTGCCCCCTTTATACTCAATCCAGGCTACTGGAATTAGGGTGGTGCCAAACCAATCAGTGGGCTGATTTAGTAATCTCCCACGCTTAATCCCAGCTCCACACACTCTAGATTCAGCCACCTCTGAAAAAGCCTCACCTCTGACTGCATGAGCCTTTGGGGGGGGCATATAGATAAACCATAACAAGGACTCAGTCCTGAGGCAATGAACATTTAAGAAATTAGACACAAGTGTGGTACTTTTGAGGTTCTGTTCCCCTCCTCAGGTAAATTCATACCTGTTGATATGAATTTAATGCCACAATGCCTTCAGAACTGGCTAATAGAGTCCTAAGATTCCTGAAAGTTGCCTCAGAGGTGTCCAGTGCCTGAGTTTTGTAGGTGCATTGGCATGGATCTTGGGGTAACAAGTGGAAAAATGTGGCCGTTCTATTAAAAACGTGTTTGCATGTCATTGCTAAGTTATTTTAAAGTAGAATAGATAAAGTGTTCTTTCAATGAAAGTGTGAGCACCAAATCAGCCATATGGTTCTTCAAAGTTCCCCTTTCCCGGTGCTGTCAGTCTGTCAAACACAAGGCTCCATCTCCATTGTTTTATTCTGTTTATAGCACTCACTTGCAAACTTTCACACCCACCCACGCACACCAGGCCTCTCATGTCTCACTTCATTCTGTGCACTTATCTACTCTTTTATCACTTGCTGCAATTTCTCCATGCTTTTCTAGGTTTGATTTTTACAATAATTCAATTTCAAAAGATGCAATTTGAGTGGCTTCTCCCCCTGATTTTACAATTTCTTTTTATGTGAATAGGAATTGATGTGAACTTCAACCCAAAGGAGTTACAGTTTGAATTTTTACTCCTTTGTATTTTTTTTTTTTGACAAGTTAGATTATGGTATTAAAAAGCTTGGTTCAGTTCTTGTTGTGACTTTCTGGATTTCCAATAGAGTGGATATATGGATTGTTAAGGATTTTAAAAAGGTTATCAGAGAACAGTTACTGCTCCACGAAAGAAAAACCAACCTGCAGTTGAGGGTCTGCAACTGAAGAGGAACAATAGGTGGCTGAGAGTTTTGTGTTCCAGACTCTGTCAACTGACTTTTGAAGTTAAGTGCTGCACTAGAATCTTCTCTTTTAGAATGTAATGATATATTTTTTCATTTCTACCAATTTTTCTCTACCAGAGTTAGACATTTTTTCCCTTTTGATATTCACGTTCTGTTCTGTTTTTCAGGATAAAGAATGGGAGGCTCTGGGTAACTTTCTAACAGATTTGCTGCCAATAGTGTAAACTCATTGCTGTGGAAAAGAAAGATGAGGCAATACAATAGAATGGAATGTTTCTTTTTTCTTTAAGGCCTAAAATTTTAGGAAGTTGATGTTCCTTGTGAATTCCCAGTCTTTAGAGACCAGGTCTATTTTTTTTTTCTGGTACCGGGGATCAAACTTGGGCCCTTGCACTTGTGCAGCAGATGGCAAAACCACTGAGCTAAATCCCCAGCCAACCAGGTCTATTCTTAAGTGTAGCATTTGCAATAAGGGGATAAATAATTTCCAACTATCTTTGGAAGGGAAATACATCCACTGGATAGGATTTTGATGCAAGAGGAGATATGCATGGACTAACTTTGAAAACAAGCCAGGGACCTAGGGTTCTAAATATAAAAGAATTAAAATCAGCCTAGCTTAAGTAAACCAGACAAGCAAGCTTACTGGTAAGACTAAGAGAATATTAGTATATGATGCTTCTTGGTATTTTAATTTGATTTTTATGGAAATCTGTATGTGGAGGAAATAAAAATTATCACATGTGGATTTAAAAAAATTCTATGACAATAATAGGAAATAAAATTATGAATGGAGAAAGTAAACATAATTGCATAAGTGTTATGGCTTTTGTCTAGATGCCCCCCGAAAGGCTCAATGCGATAATAAGTGAGGCTTTTTCAGAGGTGGCTGAAGCTAGAGTGTGTCAAGGATGTGTTATTACTAAATCAATCCTCTGATTGGTTTGGTGTAATTCTGGGTGTGGATAATGGGAAGACTCATGCTGGGTGTGAGTGTTACCCACCCTAAGGGCATGTAGCCTGGATAGAATATAAGGGACAGAAAGAAGGCTGCTGCCATTGCTTGCTGCTTGCTGCTTGCTGCTTGCTGCTTGCTGCTTTGCTGCCTTTGGCCTGCCATGGACTGATTCTCCTCTGCAGTGTCCCTCTGCCATGCCACCCTGCCTTGTAGCCAGCCAACTATGAACTAAAAACTCTATAAACTGTGAGCTACAACAAACTTTTCTTCCTTTAACTTTGGGTGTCAGGTATTTTGTCTCAGCAACAAGAAAAGTAACCAAGACAAGAAGTGCGTGCATGTGTGCATGTGTGTGTGGGGGTTAGGCAAGGCAAAATTTAAAAACTATAGGCATCTTGTCTGTATGTCCATGATCCCAGTTCTTTTCATCTTGTGTAGGCAGCCCGGAACTGGCTCACAACTGCACACCACACCCAGACTTTGTCTGTGAATATGTGCTGTGAAATGACCTAACACGGTACTGGCAAGCTTGTGGTCAATGTTTGCTCAGCTTCCAAGTTCCATGCACATTTGAAGGCAGTGTTCTGCACAAATAAATGTTAGTTTTAGTGGAACAGGGTGTCCTTTGTGAGCATGGTTGTCATCTATGAGTTCTGAGGTTATATTAACTCCACTTCTGAAGGATTCCTGAGCTGGCTATCTTTTACTCAGATGGTGCATAGCTGTGTAGTATTTAGATTGCTTAGCATACACTATTGACTGCTTATTCTATTGAACTAACCCTTGGCCTCTATCAGAGTGCTTTTATTGGGAAAGCTCAAAGGCAAGATTTTCCCTCTCAATTCTTTCAATTTCTTTTTTCTAAGTCAATTGTCTTTCTATGAAATCTAATCAAGTTTTAGAGTTGGCACTAGCCATCAAGAAATTTTAAGGGATCACTAAAAATGAAAATAGATGTCCAGGTCAAGCTTTTGGAAACTAGTATTAATGGAAAAAATAGAAAAAGTTAAATATTTGCTGACAACAAATACCAATTTACCATACCAAAAATATTGATTTTTTCAAACAAATGCGCAAGCAAAAAAAAAAAAAAGATTAAAATGCACCATTAAAATATTTTAATATTCAAGTGTCATTTCATGTCAAAAACACAAGATGTAGACTTGAAAATTTGGCAAATGTTAGATTTCATAGGTTAGCTTTGAGATTTTCTTTGTTTATAGTCCATAATGCTTATATTCTTCTTTGTTTTAACTTTAAATTATGAGTCAGCTCCTTACCTTCACTTTTTTTAGTGTCATGATTTAATTTGGGGTTTCTTATCTCTTTCTGTGTTTCCTTTGTTGGTAGAGTATAAATCATAATGAAAAAAGTTATCTTTATGTCACAGACCATCATAAATAAGCCCAAAGGTTGGCCATAAAAATGTATGAAATTCTTAGATTAGAAAACAAGTAATGTTTCTTCCTACCTGGTCTTCAGGGTAAAAGTAGAGTTTGCAACCAGTAAATTATTAGCACTCTTCAATTAAAGATATCCTCCTTCTTTAGGATCTCTGTGAAGGATATCAAACATGATAAACACATTTTATAATCAGGTATTGGAAAGAGGAAGTGAGGAATAATTCTATGTGGCATTTTGGGATACTAGAGTTCCTGGAACAGATTTCATGTTTCTTCTGTTTTGTTTGATTTTATTTTTTAAAAAACCATTCAAGGAGACTTCCAGGCAATCATAAAAACACAAAATAATTAATGCAACTATCTTTTACTTTCCTTGGATTTTACTTTGACTTCTTTAAGAAATTGTCTAATGGCTGAATGGCTTGTCCTCCTTCCCTTCTTCCTCCTTCCCTTCTTCCTCCCTCCCTCCCTCCCTTCCTTCCTCCCTTCCTTCCTCCCTTCCTTCCTTCCCCACAATGTGCCAAGCAGGGATGCAGACACAGGAGTGAGCAAGGGAGACGTGCAAGTGCTCCTGGACTCTTGTCCTTCAGTGAAAACGGGCAGAGGTAGAGGAGTCCAGGGCACGGTTGGGGAAGATCAGCAAACAGTGGCGGAATGCGACCTGATGCAGAGTCCCCCTACCCACAGTCAGGGACCAGCGAGGGCAGAGGGAAAGCAACCTGAAGCCTGGCAGAGAAGCTGGAGTACAGGGGCTGAGCAGAGACAAGAGATAGAGTCTTTGGAAGCAACAGCATTCAAAGGTGGAGAGAGTGGCCTGTTTGACCTCCTCCCCGGGAAAATTGTGGCTTCTGTGGACGCTTGCTGAAGTAATGACCACCGTCTGCGGAATAGCCAGCGTTCTCAAGCTGCCTTCGGGACTTCCCGGAGAGCGTCTCCCTGGATCTCCCCAGCACTCCAGAGGCGTCTGCCTCATTTACATCTGAAGATGCTGTTGCTCGGGTGACACGTGGCATGGGGACCCCCTTCCCTCCAGCACTGGAGCGAGTGCCCCTTTCAGCATATTCGCTTTAAGCTCTGCATTAAATTCTCAATTTGAACTTGATCCCAGTTGTTGGGAGCAGCCAGTTTAGCGACGAGAGCCTTTGTTTGCCTCCCAAGCACAAAGAGCTCCTGAAAGGCACGTGGAAAGATGAACCCCTTTTCAGGACGTGTCTGTTAAGAGTACGACTTTATAACTGTAGGCCCACACCCGGCGCAGGCTCAAATGCGTCTTTCTTGGCGAGACATATTGGAGACATATGGACCGAGCAATGGAAAGATCTACGGTGATCCTCAAGCAGCCAGGGTGGGGGAAGAAGAAGCTCCGGCGTGAGGAGGTGGCGAGGAGCAACAGCAAGCTGTTCGGATGTGATGAGGTGAGCGAAGCGCAGGGCGCCCTCGGCTGGCTCTGCAGGGCCGGCCAAGGGGAGGGGCGGGACTGCGGAAGCTCATCTGATGTTTGCGGCAGCTCATCTGATGTTTGCGGCAGCTCATCTGATGTTTGCGGCAGCTCATCTGATGTTTGCGGCAGCTCTGCGGCCTGTTACCCGGCAGGAGGCGCCTGCATCAGAGAGTGGAGCAGGGGTGCGGTGAGAACAGCGGCTCCCAGAAGCCGGGCAGGGTCTCTCAGGCCGGGGCCAGGCTTCAGGGCCGTGCGCTTTTGGCAGCGGAGCCCTCGTCCCAGTGGAGGCGGCTGCTGATGTCCTTTAGGCCGAGACTGCAGCGTGGCAGGCTTCGCTCCTGGCAGGCGGGTGTTGCGTAGTAAGCCATGGACAGGTGGCGCCTGTGAGCTGATGCAGGGGTGGGCAGCCCCGGGTGCCACGCTGGTGTGGAGGAGGCCCAGGGCCAGAGGCGGGCGACTGCCCCTGGAGCCAGGGCCCGCTCCAGAGCTCCGGAGGGGCCTGTTTCGATGCAGCCTGTGCTGGGAATGTCCACGCAGCACAGCCTCTGCTCCGAGGCGGGGAAGGCAGGGACTCAGGCCCCAGCTCTCCGACAGTCTCTTCCTTGTGTATTCCCCAGTTGATTTGTATGTTAACCAACAGAACCAGATGCCTGCTGAGGGTCACTTTATTTATTTTTGAGGTACTAAGGATTGAATCCAAGTATTTCACATTGAGTTACACCCTAGCCCTTTTAAAATTTTTAAATTTGAGACTGGGTTTCACTGAGTTACTAAGTTGCCCAGGCTGGGCTTGAATGTGTGATCCTCTTCCCTCAGCCTCCCACCGTGCCAAGATTACAAGCACATGGCCCCATGCCCAGCTTCCTAGCTCTCTTTTTTAAAAAAATACAAACCCTCCAACTGTATCATAGAGGAAAAGGTGTGCGTGCATGACCACTATGACCATTTAAATGTAAAAACAGGTGTGCGTCACCACACTTGGGTGACTGACATCTCGACTATGCAAATACTGTGTCTGGAGTTTGATAAATGCCAGACACTGAAGCCAACATCGGGGGACATTTCAGCCCAGAGGCTGGTTTAATCTATCTTGATAAAATTCCAGCTTTGATTCTATGTCATGTTTCCATCACATAGGTGAAAATTTAAGGACTTGGATGCCCTTTGCCCAAAGCTCCCAGAATAAAATCCCAGTCGGAAATTACATGCAGTTGCCATCGGAGGCCCCAGTAGTCTGCAAAATAAACTTTTCCTTTCTGAATGAGTAAGTGCAAATAAAAGGAACGATTTAAACAAGTGAATCGAGTTATGAAAGATTATATGGAAATGCATCAAAAGCAGTAAGGGGTAAATACGCCACAGCATACGGGGATAAATATGTGGTGCCACCTTCCTTAATTAGGCATTGTTAAAATTCTACCCTCACCTCAGAACAGTGCACATGTTAGGAAATAAAGAGTCAAGGAAAAGGAAAGGAGAGGGCTGGCTTCTGGCTTTTTGAATGCTCTACATGAGTTTGTTTGGCTACCTGTGAGTAGGTGTGCACGTGTGTGTGTGTGTGCATGTGTGTGCACATGAGCATGAGTGGGGAGAAAGGAGGTTTTGTTTTGTTAAAACATCAGTTGCTGGGCCCCAATCCAGAGTTTCTCACTCATTGGGTCTGGAATGGGCCCAAGAATTTGCATTTCTACTGAGTTTCCAGGTGAGGCTGCGGGCCTGGGGACCAGACTTGGAGACCTATGCAGCGTTCAGCCTTCAGTGTGAATCCTGTGAGACAGGGCTTCTGGCACCCTAGGGAAATGCTCCGCAGAGCTGCTGCACTCTCTCCTCGACCTCTCTAATCATCCTGTCTGGTACTCCACAGCATCTTCTTCCTGAAGTGGATGCTCTCCCCCACTAGGTCTTCCACGAGCAATTCCTCCAGGCTCCATCCTTCCCAGGCATTGGGGAGATACGTGGTGTGATGGAAAAATACACTCAATATTTACATTAAAAAGTTTATTACAGCAAAAGATTCATTGCTCTTAATCCACTTCAAAGTATGCCTTCTTGCTTTGAACATGCCTATCCCATTATTCTCACAACATTCTGAAGCAGTTCTGGAAGCTCTTTTTTGTGAGTATCTGTTCGTATACTGTTGTGGCTGAATATCCTGAATCCAAAATGTTTAATTTTGAGGTCATTTTGACTCTGGTAAACAACCAGCAGTGGTATAGTGCCAGATTCAGTGAATAAGGCAGATGAGGACTCACCATAGTGTTTTCATGAGCTGCCTTTCCACTGGATGGCACTCAGGAAAGCTGTGTTCACTGAAGTGTGGGTCATACCTCACGAGGACGATCAGGAAAGGCGACTTCCAGAACTGCCTCGGAAAGTGGCCAGAAAGAAAGGATAAATGTGTTTGAAGTGAGGGAGAGTGTTTTGAGGAGGACTGATTTTGACGAGTCTTTTACTGTAGTGTATGTTTTTATTTAAACACACCATTATTCTGATCACCCCTTATAATTTTAATCTGCATTCCATGGTATTGGCTAAACTTTTTGTTTGCACTTAATGTTCTTTTATGTTTATGCCCTCTTTTGGACATTCAAATCTAACACTTTAAGCAGGTTATATAACAGTCTATGATGGGAAGAGGATGTAAGAAAAACCTTGGAGAGATTATTTTATAGTCAAAGACTAAGAGGATCATATATACATTGGGAACTCAATATAAAATGATCTAAAGCTAGTAAAGAACAGACAATGATAACATTTAATTTTATTTCTATGTGTGTAATGGTTCCATACTCAGACAGGCTCTTAATTAAACAATATGTTGATGCTCCTAGTTCTAGAGATTTGATTCCCAACTTGTAAAGTTCTGATAAACATAAGCAATGACAGCATTGGGGGTAGGATTTGTGATGGTACAGAGAAATTTTTCAAGGTTAGGATGGAGATGGAGAAGCTCACCTAAGAAGAGCTCTTGATTTAATCACTACAGATTGTACCTAGGCAAGTGTCCTGGTTGTCACTTCACCACTTGCAAGGTAAGCTAGAAGATGATTGGCATTAGTAAGACATTTTTTTCAGTTATGAGTATAATATTCTGGAAGCAACCTATCATACATTTTCTCTTCAAATTTGTGATAAATTAGAATCATATTCCTCTATGAAACAGCTTTACAATACCCCAACAGATAATCTCCATGGAGAATTAGAATTCATCATCATCATGATGAAACAATTTTAATACGAGGAAATGGGTAAGTCCTGGAAGTGGGGGAGAGGGGAGGTGCTCATTTTTTCTTTCTAATGTGAGCACAGTTGTCATGTTGAAATGCAGTGATAACAGGGCATTGGTTCTCAACCTTGGTGTCAAGCAGAACTGCATTGAAGTGGTGTAGAGATGCTGTCTCCCTGGCTGTGCCTCCTTTCATTGGACCAGAACTGTCAGGGGATGACAGGCCATTTTGGTGCAGGAATCTATATTTTTTTTAATAAAGTGCTCCACAAGAGTCTGTTCATTAGTATTTGTTTTATATAGTTGGATGCAGTAGTGTTTGGTGCATATATATTTATGATCATCATCTCTTCCTCTTGGATTGTTCCCTTTACAAGGTTGTTGTGTCCTTCTTTGTCTCTCTTAATCAGTGTTGGTTTGAAATCCACTTGATTTGCAAAGAGGATAGCTACTCCTGCTTTTTTTGGGTTCCTGTCACATAGAGTATTATTTTCCACCCTTTAACTTTCAGTCTCTGAGTTTCCTTTGAAATTAAGTGTGTTTCTTGTGTGCAGAATATTGTTGGATCTTGCTTCTTGACCCATTCTGCCAGTCTATTTCTTTTGATTGGTGAATTGAGACTATTAACATTAACGGTTATAGCTGATACGTATTGACTTATCATTGTCATGACTTTTTCTTTTTGTTGGATTTTCCCTCTTTGTGTTTAATTTCTTGTCATGACCGATGGATTCATTCTGCTGGGCTTCCTGGGGTTGTGATCCTCATTGTCTTTTCCTAGGATATTGTGTAAAATGTTTTGAAGTGGTGGTTTGGTATTCATGAAGTTCCTAAGGTGCTCTTTGTCATGAAAGCATCTTATTTCTCCATCAATTTTGAAAGGTAGTTTTGCAAGGTACAAGAATCTGGATTGGAGGCTGTTTTCCTTTAGGGCTTGGAAAACATCACTCAAAGCTCTTCTTGCCTTGAGGGTTTGCGTTGAGAAGTCTGCTGTGATTCTGATAGGCTTTCCTTGGTATGTGATTTGTATCTTTTCTCTAAATGCTTGTAGAATTTTGTTCTTCTGTTGTATTTCTGGAATCTTAACAATTATATGCCTATGTGCAGATTTTTTTTTTTTGATAAAGGCTAGTTGATATATGCCTCACTTATCTGTATGTCAAGTTATTTTCCCCTCCTTGGGAAGTTTTCTGCCATCACTTCTGTG